GATCTCTGTTCAGCAACCCAGCTCGAGCAGTTTCAAATTCAGATCTCAGTTTCATTAAGAACTGATCACGACGGCTTTCTTCATGAATGGCTTGAAGACTGGCTAAGTTCTCCTTTGACACTTTAGCATAGATAATACCAGTATATTCGCTCCATAAATTTTAAAAATCAGAATAATATTGTTCGATTGAAAGATTACCCTGACTATAATTACTCATGTCAAGTTCCAATTGGAAGTGTTTCACAGAATTATCTTGATTATAAACGCGCTTCAGATATTCCAACATTTCTTTAACTGTGTCAAAGGATCGTAAATTGTTCACCATATGAGCCTCAATAGATCCCAAAATCCAGAAAACAATTCGTGCATCTTTTGCTTCCCATTGACCAAGATCTTTTGTCTCATTAGGAGCTGGGGTAGATCCATCAATATGACCCCAAAGCTCTTTCTCTTTTAAGAACATTCTGAGTTGAAATTCCCATGCGGCATAATTTTTTCCCGTAAATTTGATAACTAAGATTTCAGAAGACATTTAAAAATAAATAAAATTCAAATCCAATGGCTAGGGTCTTGACGATCGATCGAACGGAGTGAATGCAGATTGGAGCACGGCAGCAACGAACGACATGGGAGCGAACGGCAGATCGCGACACAGAAATGTGATGAGCAAGCGAACGATGTCCGAAGATCGCGACACGACAGAGATCGCGGTGACCTCTGTAGAGCAAGGCGAACGGCAAACGACAAGCAAGGCACGACAGATCGCAGTGATGAGCAAGCGAACGATGTCCGAAGATCGCGACACGACAGAGATCGCGGTGACCTCTGTAGAGCAAGGCGAACGGCAAACGACAAGCAAGGCACGACAGATCGCAGTGATGAGCAAGCGAACGATGTCCGAAGATCGCGACACGACAGAGATCGCGATGACCTCTGTAGAGCAAGGCGAACGGCGAACTTCAAGCGAGGCGAATGGCAAGCGAGGCACGACAGATCGCGATGATGCGGTAGATGACGAAACGCGGCTTGAAGCAGATGTCGGATCGAAGATGTCGGACGAACAAGATGTCGCACCACCAGAGGTCCGATCGATCGAAGGGAGTCGATCGACTTGAAGCAGCGGTAGAACTCAAACAAAGCGAACGAAGACGCCGCAAAACTCAAAGACAAGAACGACCTCTCCGGTGAGGAAGCAATCGAAGATGTCTGACAAAGATAAGAAAAACTAAAATTTTTAAGGATTCAGGCTCTGATACCATGACAATCTTTTGAGCAAATAGGTTGAATGCCTTTTTCCTTTGTTTTCATTCCAATAAATAGTAGTTTGTACAATCTATTTTAGGTACATAATATTCAGTATAATCTAATTTAAGTAGCATCATTAATACATATTCATAATCTAAATATTCAGCTAAAATGAGAGAATCCGTACAAATATAATATTTCCTTCTTTGCAGTATTGCGAAGAAGGAAACTCTTTATTATATCTGATTTCTTTTATTCCTGATTGATACTTCCTATGATTATGGAATCCCCTAGCCCCAATAGCCTAAAAAAGGGATGCTAAAGTGGCACCATTTAGTGTCATCACCCTCAGCACATTAGTAAAGATGCCTCGACAATGCACATCAAGAATTCCAATCAGACAAGAGCCACTTGTAGATCATGATATAGTTAAATCATGATTAGACAAAAAGGACTACAATAGGTATAAATTCATGATTGCCTTCTAATTTTTCACCTAAAAATATATTACATTAAATTACTAATTGCACATAATTGAAACAAATCATAAAGACAACATGACCCTTCGAAATCACTATGATAATATTGGTCATTGGCCAATCTTGCAAACTTGGCAAACTGACGTGGCATTCCCTACAGCATTCTTACCAAAGACATGTTAAAATAGCAAACACTCGTCATATGAACTCCTAACAAAACTATCAAAGGAAGTCTAAAAAAAAATTTATATTGACAACAAAAACAAACTTTTGAAAAGCAAAGATCATCAATGATTATTAGAGATCTCATGTAATATATATTTATTCCACTTTTTCCACTCTCACACCAAAAGTCTCAAAGCTTACAGTGTAAGAAAACCTTCCAAAACAAAAAAGAGGGGCAAAATGCAAGGGCAACATATGTTAAGGACTATGAACCCAGGACGATGATGTACTAATTGTTAAACTCATTTTCAATCCAAAAACTTAAACTATTGAAGGCCAACCGTTTGATATTTTTATACTAACAAAATTTCCACCTATCATATGTGGGACTAAACCCAAAGCCTCACATGGAAGGTTTTTCAATATCATCACATATCATGCACCAAAAGTCCGCTCAATCATCTGGATCAGAAATTATTATCAACGTTTTGGAAATTTTAAAATAGAATTAGAAAAGCCTTAGGAGTAACAAACCGCATAAACCACTTGATCCTAGCAGGACCTTTGGCTTTGAGACCACTTATTATGGAGTGAATCAAAAAGGACCGGTTACAGTAATGATCAAATGCATTTTCAACCCAAAAGCTTAAGTCTATGGGCACCCCCGCTAAGTAGTTTTTACACCAATATATTCAATGAGAGAGTAAATCAAAACTTCATGAGGCTTAATATCATGCCTCCCACAAATAGGGCAAGTTTAAACCTTTTTCGGATGCTTGATTACATTTAGAATTGGAGGCTTCCCATGGATGACGATGCATTACCAACTGTTAAGCTCAAGCTGTCCTATCCCCCAAAAACTCAACAAGAACATATGTAGAAGAAATGAACTAATAGTTAATCAACTTGGACAGTGCAAAAGTACACAGAACAATACCATTCCAATAAATCAGAGGCACATGCCATCATCAAGAGTTGAATTGTATAAACATATAATATATTTTCTACAAGAAATTAAGAAAGGATAAAGTAAGTCCTCACCTTTGGCATAATAAAACATTGTAACTGATATTATGAGAACATTGAAGAGAATCACAGTTATCCACGTCATTCCAGAAACAAAATGACGAATCATTAATAGCCAAATCAAAGATAAAAACAGTGGTACCATCCCTCCACAAACTATCAAGACTGGCCAAGCCTTCCCAATATCTGCCACATATCTCTGCAGAATATTGTTTTACAGTTGAGTAAAAACTGCTCATCATTTATTTCTAATAAATGTGATTTTAAACAAACGCATAAAGTCAATTTATAGAGAGAAAGGTAAGAAAATCCTATTTTCAATATGCAGAACATTCCTGTTGCCCCTTTTACAAAATCCATTCTTTCAACTAACTTCAGAAAAGAATTTGCAAGAAATCACATTATCCGAATGTCCAAAGAATAAAGTGAAGTAGGTAAAATATATACCATAAGAATTTCAAAGAAAAAAACATGAAGCGGTGGCTAACCTTCAAGACAGATGACTGAGAATTTATTGCCCTGTGGATTGTTTTATCGATTAATATATTTTCATTGATGTTGACTCCACCCATCTGCTGCCAGTGTCGCATAGATGCATTGGATGCAAGTGCTATGAATTGGCAGCTCCAATAAACTAAAATGTTGAAAAATCATTATAGTTTTAAATAAAAAATTATATAAAGTGGGACAGTTTTGCAAAATTGGGCATCTCGTTATCCTAAAATGTTGGCATGAGGAAGGTCATTATGATAGATAAGTTAAACTCATGCATGTGAATGCCTAGCATGCCATATAATAGATAGCCAAATTCGTAATTAGCAAATTTATGTTGCCACAAAAGAAAATCAAGTAGGAATTCAGGAGAGAATGAATAAGTGTTAGTTTACTAATGTAGCCATACTCACCATTTACGCTTGGAAAAATAACAGGGTAGCAAGGCCCTTGAAGCTGAAGAGAGCTATTTCTCATTGCTGGTGTCAGAAACTCATAGTAATCATAGTCTCTATCAATCCAATCATCAACCGAGATGTGGATGTCACCATCTGGATAATCACAGACCCAATTAAGACCATCTTCAGAGGGAATAGGGCATTCCATTAAGCAGATGCTCCTAGTATCAACGAGTGTAAACTGACTGCCCTTAAGTCCGCTTTCATAAACTTGGTTAGGGTTCATCCAGTATCTAATCTCTAATTCCCGAAGATCTGGGTTAGCATGTTTGTCCCCGCATACATTTCCTTTGTAATCTAATCCATACGTAAGCCTAAAAAATATATTTCCATTTACTCAAGAAATCAAATACAAAAATTTTACGAAAACTAAAAAAGTTGCAAAATGTCGCATTTAAAGCTTGAAGTTCAGGGAGAAATAAAAGAGAAGCAAAGTAGAGATTTTACAATAGATGTAAGTAACAATCGAAGAACAAAAACATACCAAGAACGTTATATATACCTTAAGGGAAGCACTGAAAAATACAAGAGTAATAAAATACTTAATTTGCTAATCGCATATATTAAGTTTAGTTTAATTTGAAACTAGGTTTAGCAATAGTGAAACATGGTTGCTTGGCTGCATATTAGACGCAAGCAAACCTTTGAAATTTTCACAAGATATCGAATGGCATGTAAACCAAGACTATTAACGTTTAATGTGCTCATATTGCTCCTGCACTTCGGAAGTTCCATTAATACCAGAAGTAACAATAAACATAACTTGGCATTTAACATGAACTTCTTTTTTTTCCTATATCTACTCATTTTATATATAAGTAGATCTATTAGTTGGTATATTTTCCTATATTATTGGTGGATAAACCTTGGAGTGAAACACAGGAGGGTTGGAGGGTTTATTCGCATGATGACATGCACTGAATTGTTCACATAAATGATTTTCACAAGAGAATCAGTGGTGATGAACATGTTAAAATTTGATTTTCTTTTTTTCTCCTTCTCCCCTCATTTTATTGTTAAGCGAGGTTTTGAATTGTTTGCATGCTTGAATACCCATCCCACATTTCCTCGGAACTACAATTTAAAATAGATCACAAAAAACCTAAAAATCAAAACAAAAACCAGAAAATAATAATAATAAATTACATTAAAAGTTCAAAATCTAATTATGGTTTAAGATTTCAATTGGAAAGTGTTTTGGGGAGCATGCCATGGAGTTAAACCTTTCTTCATCTACAACACAATAGCTTATAGCTCAAACCATATTGTTCCACAAACATAACATCTCATTATAAAAGAAATTCCACAAAGCATTATAAATCCATTCATTGGAATCTCGAACAAACCAACAAATCATATACTTGCATTTTCATAGACTCAGAGTCTGCTTGGGAAAGTTGCGGCTGTAAAACTACTGCAGAAGAAACTATTTTTCAAAAAACCGTGTTGGCTATAACAAATTTATTTTATTTTCAAAAAGTCCAACTGCAGTTTTCTGACAGCCACCACACTTTAACAACATAGATTGCAAAAAACAGCGTTCTACTACATAAATTTTTAAAAAACAACTAGAAAGCAAAATCTCAAACAGAACTATGACGGAGGTCTGAAAAATAAAACAAACAGAAAGCTATCCCAAACAGACCCTCGGCCACTCAGAAATGAACCTTTTAAACCTAAACACTATCTGGCTAACATAGGTTCACAAAACCATCATCAGAGATTATACGCCACAAAACAACAATACAGACACTATAAGTTCAGTAATTCAGAAAAATTCATTCAAGGACCTGAATCAAACAGTTAGAATAACTATACATTCGTTCAAAAGTATTTTTTTTTTCTAATTGAACCTTGAAAGGACAGATTATAAAGAAACAAAAGGAGATGCAGCAAGTAAAATATCTTTACCCGCTCCAGTTCCCCTGTTTATCTAAAAAAATACATCAAAAATGAAAAAAAAAAACATTTCAACGCTAAATTACAGCAGTAATACAAATTTAACCGCATTAAAAGCAACAATTACAAAAAAAACCACAGCAAGAAACTAAAACCAAACCCATTTCTCACTAAAACCTTGCAATCCTACTGGAGCACAAAGGGGTTACTAACAAGCTTGTGAGATTCACCTCAGGGGGTTTCCCTGGTTGAAGCCAAAGCTGGAGTTAACGATCATGGCCACCCAAAAGGTGATGAAGAGAACCAAGAAGACCACATCCCTACATTTCCGGTTGTGCCATATGATCCCTCCCCCCATCGTCCTCTCGCCGTCAGCACCACCACTTCCGCCGCTCGCCCCGGAGGGATACCTCCCGATGATTGCCCCAAGCGGCCCTCCTCCCATCGGCAACCCAATAGAACCAGTCAAGGTAGAGAGAGAGAGACACACACACACAGACCCACACTCTCTCTCTCTAAAAAGCAGATGGGGAGGACAGCGGGTGAAAAGCTACCGCAGTGGTGGTTTCGTTGGTCTTGCGGTGCATTTGTTCCAACAAAATGAGACGAAAGAGGGCTGTCGACGGAGTTCGGATAATCGTATCAGTGCTGGTGGACTGTATCGCTATCGTTGTCCTAAGGGACATGGTAACAAAAAGATTTATTAAAGAAAAAGTGAGGATTTTAGGCTCACAGATTAAAGAATTTGGAGGGAAGTGAATGAGTTTATGGATGGCTTAAAAAATTTGACTATGAAGCTGCTTTTCCAGGTCTGAAACTAGGCTCGGTTGTCTGCTGCATTATTCCCTCCGATTTACTTTTCTGCGGGGAAATTTTTCAATATATTTAATATATAATGTATGAACTTATTATTACTAATATTTTATTCAAGAAAAGAGATCATCATCTTATTATTTATAAGAATGAATCTAATAAAACACAAATTGATTTTTTTTCTTATGAGAAGAAGAGATTGTCGAGATTGTAAGATCATTTCAAATGAGAATTTAAATACTTAATATTGATTATTAGTTTTATATTTTAAGATGAAGAGTTATAAAATAAATAATATTATGACTTATTATTATATAATTAGATGGGAACCTAAAAGACACAAATAAAATTATTTTTATGAGTAAAATTTAATATTTCAAATTTGAGATGTTCATAAAAATGCAAATATTAAGTGAGATGAAGTAACAAAGACTGTTAAACAAGTAGTAAAAATTGCATTTAGAGAATCAAAAGAAAAAATTTCTACAAATAAAAATAGTTGGTGGTAGAATAATATGTTCATGGAAAGATAAAATATATGAAGTTATGTTATAAAACTTGGTTTAAATATAAAAGTTTAGAGAACTGGAAAACATATCAAACGGCCCACGGAGAGTCTAAAAGATCAATTTGTAACGCTGAAAATTTTGCTTTTAGTGATCTTTATAATATATTAGGTACTGAGAAGTGTGAAAATATATATGTATAAACAAGCCAAACAAAAATAAAATAAGACTAAAGATTTAACTCAAGTAATTTGCATTAAAGATGAAAATCAAAAAATTATTTTCTTAGAAAAACTTTGACCATTCTAAATCTAGATATTTCATATAAAAGAAAACTCATATTGCTCGCATTCTTTTTGCATGACAAATTACTTATTCAAAAAAAAATTTTGCATGAGAAAATAAAATATTTTTAATGAAAAAACGGATGACCCTTGAATATGAAGAGTGTAGAATTAGAGGGTTAACTTTAATTATTTTGAATATAAAGTCTTAGATTAAACATATGAAAAATAAAGATTTAACTCAATTAAAGTGAAAGTGTATTGAAGATGAAAATCAAAAAGTGTTTTACTTAGAAAAAGATATTCAACATAAGTGGGTGAGTTATTCTAATAAACTTTTTAAAGAAGTTTCTGAAAATATTATTTTAAAAACTAAAAAGATGTCTGAGAAGTGGAGGAAGAGTATTTTAGTCCTCATTTTTAAGAATAAAATGGATGCACAAGAGTGTGCAAATTATAGAGGAATTAAGTTGATGTGTCATACTTTAAAATTATGGGAGAGGATAATTGACATAGGTTAAAACGTATTATAAAAATTTTTCATAATCAATTTGGATTAAAGCCAGGCAGGGCTACTATGGAAGTTATACATTTATTGAGAGGTTTGATGGAGAAATTCAGAGATAATAAGGAGGATCTACATTTGATTTTTATTGATTTATAAAAAACTTACGATGAGGTTTAAAGATATATCCTTTGGAAGTTATTGAGAAGAAAGGTGTTGATATGACTTATATTAAAGTCATTAAAGGTATGTATACTATATCTGTTACTCGTGTTCAAACCGAAGGAGGATTGACCAAATATTTTCCTATTTCTATTGGATTACATCGAGGATTGGCTTTAAGCCCATATCTTTTTGCTTTAGTTATGGATGGTCTTACTGGACATTTACATAATTATGTACCTTGGTGTATATTTTTTGCTGATGATATCATTCTCGTGGATAAGACAAGAGAGAGCCCAAGAAAAACTTGAATTATGGAAACTTGAATTATGGATCTTGAATTATGGATGTCTACATTGGAGTCTAAAAGCCTTCATTTAAGTAGAACTAAAATTGAATACATAGGTAATTTTAGTAGTATTAGTTCTAGTGATAGAAGTGTAAAAGGCGTGAACGATTTAGAAGTTGGTTGGTTGAAGTGAATTTGGTTGGTTGAAAGGAAAATTATTAAAAGGTGTGAACGATTTAGATATCTCGAGTATGTTGTTTAAAGATGGTGATATAGATGAGGATGTTAATAGTAGAATTCAAGTTGGTTGGTTGAAGTGAATGAATGCTTCTAGTCTATTGTGTGATATAAAAGTACCGCTTAGACTGAAAGGACTTAGACTAGACTAAAAGGAAAATTTTATAAGATGGTGGTAAGACCTGCAATGCTCTATGGCGTTGAATGTTGGCCTTTAAAAGAGAAGCATAATACTAAGTTAAGTGTTGCCGGGATGAAAATGATTAAGTGGATGAGTGGTTTTACACTTAGAGAGAAAATGGGAAATGATTATATCTGTGATAGGGTTTGTGTAGCTCCAATGATGGACAAAAATAAAGAAATTCATCTTAGATGGTTTGATCACACTAAACGTCTACCATCTGATGATTCGATTAGGAGAGTAAATGTTTTAGATTCGAGTTATGTTAAGAAATGCAGAGGCAGGCCTAGGAAGACTTGGGCTTATTGTATAAAAATGATCTTAATTTATTAGAACTAAATGAAAATATGACATTAAATAAGACGCAATGGAGAAAAAGGATTCATGTAGCTGAACCCACGTAGTAAGATTAAGATTTTGTTGTTGTTGTTGTTGTATATATTTAACATTTATAATTAGATATTTATATTAGAATAGTTCGTGTACATCAAAAATATATTAGTTTGAATCTTGCAGTCTGCACGACCCGCAACCTGAACTACCAATACTATCAGCAATCATGGGCTCAGATAAGTAAATACCAAAACTAACATAAACAACTCTCTTTAAATCAAGATTAAAAATGTATTATCTTCATATTATGCTACATCTCCTATAAATAGTGAATCATTTCATGTAAGGGAAACGTTTGGTCATCTTTCTCCTCATGAATTTATATAAATTCGATTATATAAAAAGGGCCACAAGAGCCCGGGACTGCCCCAACTTGCCTCATAGGGGCAAGCTGCTGTGCAATCTCTCTCTCTCTCTCTCTCTCTCTCTCTCTCTATCACTCTCTCTCTCTCACCCCCCATCCCCCTCCCTCCCTCCCTCCCTCCTATCTTACCCTCTATTCTTTGGGTGTGATTTAGAGATAACTTCAAATTCAACAGTTTAGTGCTATGATTTATATGTTAAATGATATAATTTACTTAGAAAAAAATTAGTGATATTTCACTTTTAAAAAATTAATGAGATATTTTTTTTTATGTAATATCAAAATTTTGAATAGCATGTATGTAAGCACGAAAGCTTTGAAGTTAGATATGTAACTAAATTAGAATTGTGTATTGGCCAGAGAAAATAATGTAATTATTTACAACCAAAGATTAATAAATTTTAATTCTCATACTAAATTAGAAGAAATTTTACAACATTAGTTATGCCCCCTTTTTTTTTATAAATGCATAGCAAATGATTGAAGTTAAAATTCAGATGATTCAAAGTTTTAAATACTTATAAAATAATCAAAAAGATAAATATTTTATACCATGAAATTACACTCAAAAGTTATCATTTGCAACATGACAAACTTCAATTTTATATTCTCAACCTAACGTGGTTTAATTTTGCTCAATCTTCGTGGAGTGCTAAATGATGTATGTTTTTCAACAAATTATTTCAAAAAGTACTTTTGGATTGTTTATATTTAGGACCCTAGAGCCTCTTTGTGAAATGTTGGTAGGTTGGGATCCTCAAGGGATAGCTAATTAAGTATCATAGTTGATATATTACTACAAAATTCATATTATCAAAAATATAAAATATGTATTTTAATGTAATTTTAAAATTTCAAAGCAATTTAAGTGTTTATTTAACATAATTTAGGATTAAGACACTCATAAAATCATCAATAAGAGTATTTTATACATTAAATTGCATTCAAAGTTATTATAATTTGTCTCATGATAAAAAACTGATTTTTATTCTCAATGGCGACTAATTCTGCCCATTTTGAGTCAAACACTTGTGATGTATAATTTCCAGCAATTTATCTCACAAATCCTTTTGGATTGTTTGTATTAATATTTGCAGGTTGAGATCATCAAATGATAGCTGATTAGAGATATCATAGTTGATATACGAAAAGGACTGAACTAAATGGGTCCTTTCTTACTCACGACCGACTCTTGCTTTTGTCACCTTCACACCATTCTCGTGCACCAATCGCATGACTTTCTTTCTATGAACACCGCCTTGGACCTCTCTCACCTTCTTCAGTCCCTCCCATCCTTCCTCCTTCCTTCGCCCTAAAGCCCTCCCGAGGATCTTCAATCTCGTTGGGAGATTTCATAGCCGCTAAAAAAATCATTTTGTACACATAATTATGCCAGCAAGAATCTCAGGGATATCTAACAGTCTAAGAGAAAAGGGTCATAATCCCAAGAATCCCACCAAAAATAGCAAAACTCGAGCCTACTCAAATCTGAAGAGCGG